TCACAGTCACACACAGACACACACACACAAACTCTCACACACCACACACTCATTTACTCACAGTCACACACAGACACACACACACAAACTCTCACACACACAGGGAACACCATGTGTGACTCATTAATCTGTTGTGATCATTTTCATGAGTTTATTTCAAACTCAACTTTAAATCAGTTTTTGTTTTTGCAGGAAAATATAATTAAAACTCGTTTTCATTTTTTTTCTTCAGATAAGTAAATGTGGTTTCAGTGAGGTAGGCGGGCCAGCTGTCTGTCAGAGGAACTGGGCGTCTGGATTGGCTCTGCGGGAACGGAATCGGATCTCAGACAGTTTGGAGTTGATGCCTGAACCAATGACTCCTTTCTTAGCGAGAGGAAACCGAGCCAAGATGGCATCTGAGAAAGAGAGGGAGACTTTCAGAGAGACACCATATTAAAGAAACAGTTCATCGCTGTCTCAACCTACTGAAGATGGCGTTGATCTTGTGCGGGTCGAGTGCACTGCGTTGCGGGTGGAAGGCGGGCCGGCGGCTCCGCCCACCCCTCAGGTTACTGTTCATCAGCGTGTTCATATCAAACACACCCAGCAACAGTGTCCGAGCCATCGCAGTGGGAGACTGCGCCTGATTGGCTGCCTGCCAACACCGAAAATCACAGAGCACGCCAGAGCCTGCAAACACCTCCACCGGGCTCACCTGGACAGATAAAACCAGATTTATAGTAAAGATGATGTATGTTAAACCAGATCTATGTTGAACCAGATTTATGTTAAACCAGATCTAAATCAGGTGATCAGATCCAGATGTGGGCCTGAGGTGTTCTCACCTGTCCAGGTGTGTCTCTGATGGAACACTGGCTCCTCCTCAGCTCCTCCATGTCAGTCTGGCTACAGAGGTGCCCCTCCTCTCCCATGTGATTCCCCAGGACCATGTTGGCCCCTGGTCTGTCCTCCTCGTCGGAGCCCAGCGGACCCCAGGACCCTGACAGCTCTACGCTCAAGGCCTCTTGCTGCATCTGAGGGCTGAAATCTCTGTCCTGATTGGTCGCTGAGTGGTGGTGATAAGGAGCATAGCTGTCACTTCTGCCTGTTGCCGTGGAGACGCAGTGGTGGCTGTTGATCTGCCCCAACGTCTGCCACATGGTCGAAAGGAGTCCAGGGATTTCTGGGAAATGTAGGGATATCATGATCATGAAATTAAACCGGAACATACGAACAAGATGAGAAACCTCATGTATTCTGTGTAATATAGATCTGGTTAACATAGATCCGTTAAATGTGGTGCTTCTTGGACACAGGAGGCCTTCCTCGCAAACAACTTTGGGTGTAAAGAACCGCTACAGCAGAAGCTGTTCAGAGACCTGGCAGTGCTATAGCTGGACCTCACAAACACCTATGGTTCCATAGACCAACACATTTGTGGAGACGACTCTGGACAAACATTTCATTGTGAACAACATCAAAAGCCTCTTGATGGATTATTATGACAAGTCTGGAGTCCGCCAACCCCTCATCAGAGCCTTCACAGTGAGCTGACAACAATAACCACGTTGGTCCCAGGAAGCAGATGGATCCTTCAAGGGTTGGAGAGTCTCACCACTTGGGTTTGGAAAATTCCAGGTCCCTAGTACAAAAGGGAGGGAAGGTGGTAAATGGTTTCCACTTCTTTCTCTGAGGTCTCAAATCCCATCTGCTGTAGAGAAACCCCTAAAGAGCCTCGGGGACCAGAGGACTACACCCTCAGGGACACTGGTTCCATTAAAGCAACAAACATAGACCTGGAAAGATGGCTGACAGCACCAGGCAAATTCAAAACCTGGATATACATAGCATAGAATCCTGGAAGAGGATGGAAAGGAAAAATAAGTGGCCGTCTCTGGGGTGCCTGGTAGCGTAGTGTGTTGTGCCGGCCCCCCATGTGTAGAGGCTACAGTCCTCGCTCCCCTCTCTCTGCTCCCTGCTTCCTGTCTCTCCTTTACTATACTGTCATTAAAGGCACAAAAGCCCAAAAATATACTTAAAAATAAAGTGGCCGTCTCTACAGGTGGTTGAGGCACTAAGAAGCCTGAGCAGCATCGCCCTCTATGGCAAGAGCAACAGGCTTAAACTCCCATTAAACACCATCAGAGAGGAGTTCATGGTTACCTGAGCCCAGAAGGTGCTTCAGTACAGGAAGTCCACCAACACAAAGGCTGGCATAGATATCAGGACTGGCAGAAAGTGGTGGTCCCAGGAGGCAGTCGACCTGGCGGAATCTCAACTGCATCACACAGCACTAGTGGGAGCCTCTGCAGTTTGCTGAGCAGGTCTAGGCAGCATCCCATCAGCTCACTACAACAGAGCCAAGGGTAACCCTCACCTGACCCCTCACCTGACCCCTGACCTCTCACCTGACCCCTCACCTGACCTCTCACCTGACCTCTCACCTGACCTGACCCCTCACCTGACC